CACTTATTTCTCTCTATTGATTATGAAAGAAGGTCTCTTTGGGAGGAAATCAACCAGTCACCACCAAAACAAAATTCAGGAATCCTCAAGAATTCGCAGCACATCTATGCTGTGGCTCAGAGCAGGCAACATCTAATCTGCAGTTCATGCCACAGAAAAACTGTTCTGTGGGCTTGCAACACAGCCCTCACATTTTTAAATACAATGAACTGAACCACCCCCACAGACAAAAACAGACATGTTTTAGATGTATGTGAGCACCATATGGGCAATATGGCATGGATGGGATTCATCTGCTCTATACAGGATTAGCCTTGAGTATTAGCCACTCTAGGCTACTTGGGTCAGGGGACCAGATATCACTCTTGGGTGGATGTGACTTGTAATGTGACGACATCCAATGTTAAATATAGGTGGGTATGGAACGGCCATGAAAAGGTTTCTGATAAATAGGTTCTAAACGCCCCTGGAATTAAGCTAATAAACAGCTTTCCCTCTGCTGCTGCAAGGACAAGAAAGTAATCGGCTCCAAAAAGAAGCTGATGTGCTTTGTGATGCCTGCCACAGCAGAGGACAATTCTTAGGATGGGTCTCAGCTCCCATGTCTTGGCCATGAATCACCTATAGTTCCAGCAGATTATTTCTTTTATCTTACTCCAGTATATGCCAAATGACACCTCTGTGGAACTGTTCAAGTGCAAAACAGAGTCCAGTTTGCTTTTGCATCGTGCCCTTTGCAGTGAAGTATGTGTTCTTTTAGTCTTGTTTTCCCCTGTACTATGCTCCCACTTCCTAGGAAGTTTTACAAAGAACAGTCTTTTTTCTTTTTTAATGTGAAGAGTAGTCTGAGAGGTTCAAAGAGTCTCAAATGCCAAGAAATCAGCCCTCACCTAATTAAGAGCTCATTTACTCCAAACAGAATTGCCACAGTAAGCTACAGACTGTTTCTGATCTGCTTGGAAAACACCTTTTCTGATGATGCCAGATGAAATACCATACAGGAGATTTTTTATTTTTTTTCAAGCCGTACACTTGGTTCTCTTTCACATGTAATGAAGATAAAAGCTCTATCTGCACACAGGATTTCTGAATATCTAACCATATGCACTTGTCTACATCTATATACACAGAGACATGTATATACAGGCTACATTAGCAGTCCATGAAGAATGTGACCAAAATTAACATATTGTTCTTCCTTTTTCATTTGATCTCCTAATTTATTTCCTTTTCACCATCCTCTTTTTTATTTTCTTAGCTATGTTTCTTACAACCATGGGGTAACACAACACTTAACAACACTCTTAACACTGTAAACCTACTTAGGTGCCCAGATTATGTATACATGTGAAAAATATATATGCTGAATACATGTGTCTAAACACACACAGAGATGCAAATCTTAAAGGACAGGGTAAGGAACAGTAGCCCTTCTCCTTCCTTCCCCTCTCCCCATTACCTATACTGTCCGTCACAGCATGTTCCCATCAAAGCCATGCAGTACCATGGAAGTATGACCTTCCTTATTCACGTTGTAGCTGACTGAATAGTCAGCTTGAGAGTTATACAAGTAACCCTAGTCTTTGGGCTCAAACTGGTGTCAGAGCATCACAGTGCCTTATATGTACTGTTTGTAGCACACACTGTCTGGGATTTACCTGTATCTGTCATAGACAAGCTTCTACTAATGAAATCTGAGCTAGTGTCAAAAAGGAGAGGGCTCCCTTAGTTTGTTTATCACCTCATTAGCAAAATTAATTAGCAAAAACACTTCGCCATGACAATCACAAATGAATCCCCAGGATATCTACCTGTAGATTTGGGGATGAAACCTTTTCCAGAAGGACTATTTTCTCAGAATCTGAAGCTAACACAAGCATTAGCCCCTTTCATGTCTTCATTTTGTATGTGTTCACAAGGATATAAGGAAGTTCTGAAAATAATTGGAAGTGTTTGATGTTTGTATATTGCAGTGTATTACACTGTTTGAGATGCATTGCAAAGGTTGTTTAGGATTGTGCATTTCAAACACAAGAATAACATTCAGTAGTATAAAACCTTCAGAAATAGTTAACTTCTACTTTTTGCACTCAGAAAAATATGTACAATCCTCTATTGCATGAAAGATAGCATGATGCTAAAACCACAAACAAACAAACAAACAATAGCAATATATAGATTATGTGTTTGCTGGCCACATTTAAAAGCAAAGCATAATTACATTAATAAAATGAAAAGGAAACCTGAAAGTAAAGTCAGGATTCACACAGTAAAACAAAACAAAAAATGTGTTAATTAAATGCCAAATCAAACTGGTGCATTTTTAACAAGATTTTAGGTCTTGCAATGATTTGCTTATTCTGCTAAACAAAAGGGAAGGAGTTTCACAGCGTGGGAGCAGAGAAGAGAAACACCCTAAAACCGACATCATCTATTTAACAAACAGAGCTGGAAAAAGAATTGTTATTCAGCTAATAAATAGGTATTGTTTTCTTTAACTACTGGTAAATGTGCACCAGAAAGAAATCGAAAATATTTCAGTTTTACTGTCTTATTCTCAGCCCCTTGCCATTCTGCTCTGTTCCAAACATTTTGGCAGCTGCTAAGCAGCCAGCAAACGCAAGTGAGTGACGTTCCAGAGAACGGAATGACCTTGCCACCAGTAAATCCATGTGGACAGGTTGGAAGAAAGCTTGTGTCTACAGGGCAAGACAGACAGATGACAGTTTTTTCCCAGGGTAAGACAACTCACTTGGTGGACACAACAGACAATCTGGCTACTGCATCTGTAATCCAGATGGTCATTAGTATCTGAGAATGGCTCACTATTATTGAGCCCAGTCTAGTTGATTTAATGTAGATGACCTTCTTTGCATCACCTCCAAACCAGACAGTCACTTCTTGCCTAGAGGACCCCCAGCTTTAAACATGATGAGCATTAAAGAATACTCCTGCATGCAGACCCAGACATTCAGTTTGTGCTGGTATTTGTGCGTTTTATAAAAGGCACATCAGGAATAATACACTGTATTTTGAACCATACCACCGCACTCCATGACATGTTTCCAGTATGCATAATTTGGGAATAGTGAGGTTTGGGGGGTTGTTTGTTTTTGTGACAACGTTTGACCTTCAGATTTTTATGTGATAAAAGTGGGCAGAGTTTCTCTAAGGTTATCAGCTGAAGAGCTGAATTTTACAGTTCTGTTTTAAAAGCACACAGAAAGGGCTTTCAGAGGTATGAAATAATGTATATTAGAAGACTGGATACAAAATAGATCTGTCTTTCCTTCAATTTTAGATCATTACTGCTTGAAATTAAAAACATGTATTATGGTTTGGGTACATAAGATATTGTTAAAATATTTGGGAAGATATTAAAACAAAGTTTACCTCAAAGTACTTCCTTAGCAGTTTTCTTTATTTGTTGATAGTTTACTAGACTAAATACTGGAGACTAAATACATTTTGGAGACTAAAACTCTGTGTTGTTTTTTGTTTGTTTGTTTGTTGTTTTTGTTTGTTTGTTTGTTTATAGTTAGTTTGTTTGTTTTAGTTTTTCATTGTTTTAGTTTTTCACTGATCCTACGGTTCTTCTCAATAGTTCAGCATATTTGAAAGGGTATCTCTAACCCTTCTTTTTTATTCCTGAAAGCATTCATGCATGTCTTTCTTAATCCTAGAAATGAAAGCTAAGATTTTCAAAAAAGGCAAGTAATTGTAATTGGGTCAGTGTTTACAGCTCACAGTTTACAGTGTAAACAGATCAGAGGGATGTTTCAGTTGTCCAGAAGGGGGTATTTATCCACCTATCACCTTTAGGTGAAATGTAAGGTGTCCTAGAACTGATACAGAAAAATTGAAATCCTTGTGTCTGCCATTTATTTAAAAAAATGTTTCTCATTTAATTTATGTGAAGCATCATTTTGAAGTTAAGACTCTTGGGAAGAGTATGGATAATTTGTTTCCAGTTCTTACAGATTTTCATGATGACTTGGGACAGGCAACATAAGTTAAAGATATTTGAAAGATATTATGACACTTAAGATTTACTGTGGATTTACATAGGATTCAAGACACCTAAACAACTAAGCTGCATCTCCAAGGATGTCTTCAGGCTGATCAGAAAGATTTAAGCATGACTCTAAGACTGTAAAACCTCAACCATTTGGATTATATGAGAAGTGAGTAAATGCCACGTTGTTCACTCGAGAAGGGAATAAACTCTCAGTTGCATCACTAGCTGTGATGTTTGCTCCATTGCGGTTCAGGGAAAAGCAACAGCTACATACATGGAGTGCCAAAACAGCTATTTCAGCTGACACTTACGCACCCTTGAAAATGACACAAAGCATCAAAATCAGCTTAAAATCAAGCTAGAGGTAGTTCTCTCCATTTTAAACATTGTTTACAAACTTCTACCTAGAAACTGGGTCACCCTCTCTTCAACCTAAAGACTTTCCAAACAATTTCTGTCCTTACCCAGAAAGAAGTTCACCTTATTAGATAGTAGTCTCACTCTCTGTCCTTCCTGTTGAAAACGGGCCACTGCATCCAAAAGCAGGCATGATTCATGCAGAAAAAGGAAGGGTAAATGAAAGGAGACTGGTTTTATAGCCCACTGCCAGAAAAACCCTAGAAAAGGAAGAGTCCTGAGTTCTGTTTCTTGCTTCAGGGATGCCAAATGTGTTTTCAAATAAAGAGTCTTTTGATAAAATGCTTTAATAATGTAGTATGAAGTCTGAGTGTTGTTCTATATCTCAGCTACCCCTCTATAGAGGGTAGGGCAGGGACAGCTCTTTGTAAAACGTGCGTGAGCTTTGCTCTACTTAATGAGGCATGCTGTACACTGAGGAAGGACACCTTGTTCACAGCTGCAGACCCACGTACCTCTCTCCCCGTGACACCCAAGAACAAAATCTCCTCCTATACCTTGTATCTGTTCTAGAAAACAAAACAAAACAAAAATTATAAAGAAACTACTTTCTGTAGTTACCTACCGTGTTTACAGCCCTGTTCCTAGCCAAGCCATGCAGCGTGGAGGCACAGCTGCCACCTCCCTGTGTCAGCTGGGCTCATTGTCAGGAGGGAATGCCCCAGGAGGCACAGCTGATGTTTGCACTCCTGCACAGATGGGCACTACCCTTCCTGCCCCTCTGCTTGCTGGAGTCCCCACATAGGGTCTGCTGCAGGGTGGAGCTGAACCATGATGTCCCCCAGCCATCCTTGTCCTCCACCGTCCTTCTCCAGTGCCCTTCAGCTGGGGAGCTCTGCTCTCCATCCCCCCTGGACACGGCATTAGGGTGAACTTTGCAGCCCTCAACCCTTCTGCAACAGGCACCAAAACCCCTGATATGTTCTTAAAACTTCACTTCAGAAACCGGCAGCAACAGCAAGGAAAGAACTGTTCCCCAGCTGTCAAGGTTGCAAATGAAAAAATAAAAATCCAGAACTGATATAAAAATGAAGTACTACAATACCGCTGGATTTCATTTCACTCCTTTTTACAGCCCTGACTAGTTTTCAGTCAGTGTTTGCAGAGTTTCAAAAGGGGGAGCTAGTCAGCTAACAGAACCCAGGTTGCTACAAAAACTTCCTTGACGGCGGTGCATAGCTTTAAGATTTTAGGTGAAGCAGAATGAAAAGCGAGTTCACAGCTTCAGACTTATCCCTGAGAAGTACTTTGTATGGCATTGCTGCTCCTGCTTTCCCCATAAACCTGACTGATTATTGAACATATCACATAGACACAGCATGAAAGCTGATTATGTCTTGACAAGCAAAAAAACATAAACAGATTTTTTAATCATGAGACACACAAATGAGCTTGTAAAAAGCTTGAGAATGTATAATATACAAATCTAAATAACCAAGGGAACATAAACTTACATAAAGAATGACCTGTGACTGAAATTCCTGCATCAAAGGATTTTAACACAGTGAAGAGTTTCACAGTTTCAGAGTGTCAGGGAAAAAAAGTGGCTCCCATCTATCCAGACGAGGTCTATTGGTCGTAGTGAGACAAAATGCATTCATCTGTCCTTAAGAAATGTGGAAGAGTCCTGGGCCTTTGCGAAATATTGTACCGATTTGCTTGTTACATGGGAACAGCAAGTAATTTTTACAGCTCTTGCTGTCTTTGAGTTTTCAGAACAAAGATCAAACACAGCCCCTTTGTGTGGTTTTGCTCTTCACTCGGTATTCTTCCTCAGCTATAAACTCCCCACCCACGCACACACCTGTGTTCTCGTCTGCCCTCGAGGTGCTGTAAGTGGCAGAGCCCTGACTTCTGCTCCTCCCTGGGCAAACATTCACCCCAGTGCATGGCATGTGTGGGGAAACATCTCTACCCCTGTACGAAAGCGTGCTGTGAAACCGCATGCAAGGTTTTGTGCAATATTCCTGTTCAATTCCCCAAGTAAAATATCCTATTATATATATATGTATGTATGTATATATATATATATTAGGTATACTCTTTTATTTGAAAACAGTTTGGCAAAATTGTCGGTGGTTGCTTCAGTCTCTGGAAGTGTTCAGCAGGCTGCAAGTGTTATATTGCATTTGTCCCATCCAACTCCACTGAGCCAGGCAGTTCAAGTGGCAAATGACTTCTATAAGCCCTTCTTCCCACCAAGCTCTCACTCTAAACATCGAGACCTGGCAACAGTGGAGCTGTAAAAGGCCCATGTTGTGCTTTGGAAGTCACACACGGCACCTCTTATTCTAAAATCGTATTTATTTCTCGTTCTCGCTACAAAGTGATATGATGACAGGTCAGGTCCCACTGCATGTAACTGCTGCCAAACACTGACTCCATTCCCCTTTACTCCATTCCTGACTCTAGCTCTTCTAAACAGCATTTAATGGCCAAAATCATTTGCTGAACCAAACCAAGAATATCACACTGCTATTGTCAATGTCCCTTCACAGCTCTGTGAGGAAAATCTCCTGCAGGTCATATATTAGCTTTTGGTTTTTGTAGTACTACCTTCTATGAGGTGACAAACCTTTTGTTTCTGATGCTATTTATGTGCGTCTTTTGCCAGGCACGTAGTGTTGCAATCAGTGGAATCATTTTCACTGGTTTCTCTCTCATCTTGACATAGAATTGTAAAGATACAGGTTCTAGAAATATGGGAGAAATCACAGAAAACTTTTCTTGTGTTTGCTTTATTTCATGTTTTCATTTTCATTCCATTTTCTGAACCATATGATGAAATATAGTTGTTGCTTTACTGATCAACCTTCCTCACCGAGACACATGTACATAGAGTAAGAGACAACTGCTACTCACATAAATTACAACGTTTTTGGTATGCTTGTCACCAAATTCCACTCCCAATATCCATAAATGAAGGAGATCAGATCAGAACAGTCTGGCCAAGGCTAGCCACTGTAGTCACTGCATCACAAATGCCTTTGTGGCTCACCCTAGCTGAAAACATGAAAGGTGAGGAAGGTTCAATTACCCTTTGGTTCTTCTGTAAATGCTAATCACCAGGGAAAGATATAATAATAATCAGAAAGGTGGGGAGGTGTGTAATATGCCCTCTACAAGAACAATAGTAAAGCAGATAGTAATATTAATAAATTGCATTAGTAAATCAAAATAAATAATATTCTTTTTTATAGTATTTTACCACTTGCACTTTATTCCTGGTGTCAAAGAAGTAATTGTGGGCTTACAGAGACTACTCCATGATCAGTGTCTGCTAAGCTGATGTATGTTGCAGACCTGTAAGATGGAAAAACACTGATGCAGTTTTATTCAGGTATGATGCTTAAACTTGGTAGTGTTTAGGTCTCCTAATGGAGTAAACATAATCCTGTTCTTCTGTCTGTTGATAAAATTCACAGTTTTTTGTTGTTCATGGGAACTTGCATAAGTGCTGGGGAAAAGGCAGGAGTCTACCACTATCCAGCAGACACATACCCACCAGCCAGATGGATTGTATGACAATCTTTTTTAAGGCACCACAGATACCAAAGCAGAGGGTAACATGGATAAGCTCTGAGCCCAAAGTGCATCATGTATCAGCAGAATCTTTGCAGATTACCTTTTGAGTAGATACACTTATTTTAATCACTTCTGCATGGCAAATTGCATCACTGTGTTTGTCCACCATGGCTTACAGTTACGAGGCAAACATTCCCTGAGCTCTTTATGTTTTCAAAGTAGAGGAATGATCTGAATCACTATTGTCTGAAACTTTTATGAACCAGAATTTAATGTCGCTCCTATGAACATCAAGCTACTGGACTGAAACCAATGTGTTATTTCCCTTGTTGTTAAGAGTTTCCTACTTTGGGAAAGTAATGTTCTCAACTTCAGCTGAATGGTTTAAGATATAAGATAAGCCCAACCCAGTCACAGTGTTTTGTAATTATTTGGATAGTCTTTCCTGCTTTGATGGAGGTACTGTAAGGATGACGTTAGCTGGTAGCAGAGGTAGAGAGAGATGTCTCTAGGTTCCAAGAAAGGGCATTCAGAACTTAAACCTCCGGTGAATTTGCTTGGTACTCAGGAGATCAAAATCTTTCCATCCTGTCTGGTCCTAAGCTCACCGTTCCTGCCTGTAATGCTTTCTCTAGCCAAATACAGTAGTCACTGGAGGGACTAGAAATAAATAGTGTCTTTTGTTCCTAATGTGGTATTTCAAGTTGCTGTCAGCCCTGGCTTCAGAAAATAAAGCATGGTAAGGGAAAACATGACATGACTTTTGGATGTTTCTGTGTCCATTTTATTATACAAAATGTTTCCTAAATTAATACTCAGCCTGCATGGCACTAGAAGGAGAAGCATGAGTTCATGATAAAATCAGTCAGAGGAGCACTTTCTAAGGCCAGGTTGCTCCTTTCTGAGTCTGGTTCCCCCAGGAGCACCTGGGAGGAGTCATGAAGAGAAGGCTGGAGTCCTCACCCGATAGGTCTCTTCTAGGACAGCCTGCCCCAGGGGTGCTCACTACCTGGTTCCTCACTCCTGCAGCGCTTCCTACAACAGAGCACAGGGTGTCACAGCACATAGGTTACTGGTCCAATTCACTTCAGCAGTTCCTAAATATTTACTGTATCTAGTCATCTGGTTAAAGATAATTATCATCTTCTCTTTTACCACTGCTTCACAATTTTCTTTTGTGATAAAAATGCATAACTTTAAGCAGAATTCAAGACTCTCTCTTTACTCCTGTATCAAGATTTTTGTTACACTTTTTTATTTTTATTTATTTTTATTTTTATTTAGATGACTTTTACAATTATATCAGATCAGGGCCACCAGCTGAACAGCAATGAACTTGCTAGCCGAAGCTACAAGCTTTGTATGACTTGTTTACCAGGCTTGTGAATTCTGGCAGAGGCAGCTGTAGATTTTCAATTAAATTAACAGATTTGCACACAGCCCTAATACCTGACCTGAACTATTAGCTACTAGGAAACTTACTGCTTTCCTCTTTTAATTTGTTACCTTTCTCAGCTCTTAATAGATGCAGGTAAAACAACTGCTTTAAAACCCATGGGCTACATTCCTTCCCCCCTCTTCTGCTGTAAAATTTTTGTGATGTTCAAAAGTCTTTTTATAGAGTAGTTTGCTTGACCATAAAGGACATATTTGGGGAAATCCTGTCTAGAAAATCCAATTGACCTGCAGTGAACAACTCAGATGTCAGGAAGGTAGATGATGTGTTCAGAGATCCAGACTCCTCTGTTTGGCCTTCTGGCAACCTTCTTCTGGCCTCTGGACTTGTGAATTTGTCAGGACGTCATGCATCTTAACTGTTTTACCCGAGGACCTTCTCTGTATATCAGGCGTCTCCATGCAGCTAAGGGAAATTTTATTTTCCTTTGGGATTTCTGTTGGTCTGGAGGAGTCACGATCCACCACATCCTTAATTACCTCATTGACATGCTCATTTCTCCTGTAAGATGACTGAATTCCCCAAATCAGTAAAAAGCACAGTTGTGTTTTGCGAAGTCCTTCATATTGCGTGGATCCTAACAGAAGTGATCTGTGGGGCCAAGCCTTCAGCTGCAGTTCAAGCTGAGCAGTCTTAGAGGAGAGGAGGAAAATTCAACCCTTCAGATGACACTGACATGGTTACGACAAGACAAATGGACAGTCCTTTAGCACTTTCTGTATATTGAGTTCAGAAGGCAGCTCACTATTACTGAAATGCCTCCTGGCTTGTGTTTTTAGGTAGAGAACCAAATTTCCAGCTGCCTGGGTGGCATTGCTCTAATTGCCAACTGGCATTGGGACTTTGTACGCAAAAGGTGTCCTGTGACTGCCTGTCAGTGATGTCACAGCTACGTCAATAACCTTTAGTAAATACACAGAGTTTGGCTTTCATCCTTTCCCTTACAATTTCCATTACATAATACACAAAAAGACTCTCCAGGCATTGCATTTCTAAGGTGATTAGTGCATTTCTTGAGAAGCTAATGTCACTTGGCCTCTGGCTGCATGCCTCAGAGCTCCACAACTGGTGCAAATATTAACTATCCAAATGGCTCTCCTTGTTGTGCCTGCTGCCTAATCAAACTGCTACATAAATGCCTTACACATAAATTGCTTTAGAGACACTCTAAATGCAGGAAAATATTGCAGAACGATTAGGAAAAAAAAAAAAAAGGATTTTCCCCCTTTGATCTTCTGATAAAGAACATGGGAAGCCTCCAAGCCAAAGTTAGTTTTCCTGAGAACTCGCTATTAAAATCTTAAGTCTTCTCCATGTGATAAAAAAAATACTTATTTTCTTTTTCATAGACTGGGATTAAATCGACCGTGTTTACTGTGTCTCCTTATAGACAGTACAAGCAGACCAGAATCTGGAGTGGCAATAGTAAAACCTCAGAATGAAATAATGTGTTCACTAACTGAAGTGCTGGATGACTCTCTGTGGTAGCAGAAAACAACATATTCCATTTCATTTACTGCCAAAAATATGTACATAAAAGCAATGGGACTAGCACGCTGTTTCAGCTCAGTTATGGGGAAAATATCTGCAGTTTCCTCATCCTCACAGCCACCTTTCTGCCCTCAGTCTCAGCTAGCATTGGATTTGCTGAGTTGTCTCGTCATGGGTGACAGATTCACTGGGGCTAGAGGTGCAAGATGAGATTCACGCTGGCTGATTTTCAGGGACGCAGAGGTCTCATTGTCACTGGCAGCAGTTCTGAGGTAGAGGAAAACACAATGCATCATAACACCTCAGGTCTTGGAAAAGTGGATTTGAATGTATTATCGTACAAGAAGGCAGCTGGGGAATTTATTAACCATGATTTTAGAGAACTGAAATGGTTTTATAAGGTCTTATGTTGTTGGTTGTTTTTGTTTTTGTTTTTAATTTTTGTTTTAAAGAGTAAGTCATATCCGAGTTTGGTGCTCACTGACTGAATCTTCATTATGAAATAACAACATAATCTCCTCCTATAAAAGAAATGTTTTTTCATTCTCCTTCCACACCTCTGCTAGCTCCTGAATCTGAAGTATGAGCCTGAAGAACACAGGAGGGTTAGATGTGGAGGAAAAGAAATGAACACTGACCTTGAAAAAGTGTCTTCCACAGCATGCATTTTGAAACACCAATACTTTTTTTCTAGTGCGATAATTTTCCTGATTCTGTCTTGGTGGTGGCAGTTTGTGTTACACAGTGAGGATGCTATCAGTAATTTCAGCCCTTTCAATCACTAAGAGCTATAAGCAGCAATAACTGCCATTTTGTGAGGTAAAGCTGAGTGTCTCACCTTAACAAACAGAAGGTGCTGAAGACTTTAATATTTTTAGTGGGGACTTCCTGAGGGTCTGTTTTTCTGTGGGCTCTTACAAAGCAGCATGTTGTGCTTGCTTTTTGGTGTAATGCCATTGATTTTAACTCACAGCATTATATGTATATAAGCATTACATTCAGTAGAAAAGGCTCAAAGGATCAGTCTTGCTTTCTAAATGAATGAATGTTTCAATCTGTTTGGGTTTTGGTCAATCATATTAAAAGAATTGTTCATTTGTATTTTATTTCCTTAATGCACTGTTTAAAAATTACATTATCCTCCAAGATAGTTCTACGATAAACCAATTTAAGATAATGAACCTAATTCTTCCTTTTGTTTAGCTACGCTTAATGCTCCTCTGCCAGAGATAATGTCATTTTGTAGGTGGCAGCTATTAAATATAGAGGCACAGGGATATGAAACAAAATGAGCTGTCCTGTTGATAGCTGCTGATATGATTCCTCTTCTGTCCTTTATTCAAAAGTTTTGCCACACAGATTTCCTATGGAACGCACTCAAAGAGCACACCATTGCACTGGAAAGTTTATAATTATCTTTTCATAACATAAAAATATTGTGGCTTTTTGTTGTTGTAGCTTTTGTTGTTGTTCTGTGCAAGTGGGATATCCCAGCAGTTGTAGATGCAGTGGCCATCCTGACAGGCAGACAAGCATGTAATATTGCTACAAATGAAACAATTACATTATTTGGAGGATAACTAGGACACTCTCACCACAAGGCAGTAAATTCCCACTTAGCTGTAAGGCAACTTTCACCCTATTATAAGGTTCAGTTGGTCAGAAAAAATTCTGATCAAATATTTTTCCTTTCTTTGAAACTTGCAATATTTCACAAAAATAGTGAACCTCCCTAAAGTCTGGTTGCCCTGCATCACCAAGACACTGTGCAGACTCTGTACAGACTCCTTCCATCAACAGAGGAGCCCAAAGATCCACTGACCCAGAATATCAGAGCGAACATCCACACAAGCTGCCTTACTGCAGGTTGTTCCAGACAATCTCAGGCCTGTTCCTCATGTGAACTCCATAGTCCTGAAAGACAGGAAAGCAGACCTTGATGTCAGTTATACCATTTTCATTCCAGCTCCCTATGTAAACTCATTTTTCAAGGGTTTCTACATCTCTGTCAGTCAGCCAGGAAAATGCAAATTTTTCATTATTTTTCCTTCTCCTTTTTTCTTTGATAGCTCTACCACTGACAAAAAGCAAGCAGGATTAATTCTTGGTGGGAATCTAATGATCACGTTATGTTATGTTAAAAGAAAATAAAAAATCTTGCTAGCCTAGTTTGGCTCATTTACTTTATGCTCTCCTCCACTTTGCTACTCTTCTGCAAATTAATATATACAATTTGAATATCCAAACATCCTTCAGTCCCTGTAACATTCTTTGCTGATATATAGGACATAACACAAGAAACCTTTTTCTGCATAACAGCTAAAAGGCAACTGTGAGCAACAGCACATTGGTAAAAGTAATATCAGATCTCATACGACTTCTGCCAGAAACTGCCAAAACAATTTGCATAGAAAGAGGGAATTATTTGTCCCTCTTAACCCCAGTAATATACATCTAAGTAGCAGTTTTCTAGGGAACATGGAAGACTTTGTCCCGTATACATCACATGGTTTTCCATCTACACAGACCAGTTTCCTTATCAAAGAACAGGCTTGATCAATGTGTGAAATTGGAAGAGCTTGTCTGTAATTCCTTGATTTACCTATGGGGTTTCACTGTATTTTGATTACCTGAGTTATGTCTTTGTCAGCTAACATAAGGACTATACTGGATGCAAAGAACAGAGGCTAAATGTTAACTTCATCTTACATGTAACAAACAGAAAAGACTAAAGGGGAGACAAGGGAAGGGGGGTGGGAAGAGAGCATAATATGTGACGTATTTCTGCAATGTCCCTGAGAGCAGCTCACAGCTGCATATCACTAAAACATTCTACTTGGTTACAGCAGTTTCTGAACTGTACTAAACTAATCCCGTATTTTTTTATAGTTTAGCCTTCAGAATTCATTTTCAAAATCAGACACATGCATGGAAATATATTGCCCTGAAAGCACTTTACATAACTGTTTCAGTAATGACTGTAGGTAACTAAAGTGATATTCACAGTGACTCAAAGCAGCTAACAAGGAATCCATTTAGAATACCATCTTTCCAGTTTCACAGGCATCCATGGAGCTATAAAAAATCTGTACTGTAATATGCTTGTCAGGTGACTAATGACCAGAATTAATTTGTTTTCACATCCCAAGATTCCTTTTCTGTTTTATCAACATTTAATTAAAACCATTCAAAACCCTTTGTAGAGTGCAAGTTGCTCCACAAATTCAACTATTATGAAGACTGTGAAAACAAGTAATAATGAACCTTGCTGCACAGTGATGTTTGCCAGAGCAACGAGATCTGGTCTTGATCTGAGCTTCTAGCTTTAGGCTTATCTACGAAAACAGCAACATTTTTTGTGATAGACTTGAAGCATAGGTGAATTATTTTATTCAGGGATATAGTCAAACCAAAAATGATTGCTACCATCTCCAGTCCTAAAGAAATTGAAGCTATTTCTGTTGTCAATTTTATATATATATATATATATATATATAAATTTAATTGGAAGCAATAGTTTCAGTTTAAAGAGAAAAGTGAGAAAAAAGAATAAACTCATTAGGTACTAGAGATCTCCTGCTTCCATTCAATAATCATCTATGCCATGAGGTTTATGGTGAAATTTGAATGTTTGCTGCGTAAATTCCCCCCAGTGGTACTACTGAGGACATTGAATTAGCTCTCCAGAAAGCAGGAGTTTGATACAGCTCTTACAATGCTAGATGTACTTGCCCTTGTACTAACAGCCATACTCTAGCAGCATGTATCTATTTGCATCAAGGAGCATCCTACTGTAATAACGCAGAGAGATGGCTTTTGTCCATTAGAATTTGTGACTCGGGAATGTGAAGAGAAATACTTCTCAAAAGCAGCTGAGTCAGAAGCATGAAAAAAAAAGTTTTTTTTTCCAGTACATCATATCGAATGACTATGGTTAAATGATGACCTATCATTTAGAGAAGATACCTGTTCAAAATGCTCTATTTGAGACCATGCCATTAACATACAATACCATCTTTGTACGAATGCGTTAAAATGATCAATTTGTCAAGCACTCAGTCAGATACCCACTTTAAAATATCCTTTTTGTTCTTTCAGCACTATGGGAAATGAGGGAGCCAAGCTCTAAGTCACTTATGCATTTCTTAGGGTGTTCCCCAATGAAGACAAATTGAGTATCATCACCTTATACATATAAAGAGACAAACTGAGATGAGATCAGTTCTCAAAGTTCATGCAGAGATGGAATGTCACCCAAATTTCACAAGTTCTCATCCAGAATCTCATCCTCCCATTTTATTTTAATGAATTAATATCTGGATGAGAAAATCCTTAACAGTTAGATTTTGCCTTCTTAATTATATGACATCACTTTGGAACTTCCTGATAAAAGTGTGATATAAAAACTGTATTATTTATATTTATATAAATAATAAGCATCCAATTTATAAGATTTTGTGCATGCATATATGCATATATACAATATGGGAAATTATATGAGTTAATTCAGACAGCCATAGCCAGTATTTATCTCATGAGATATTTATATTGGTTTTGTCTTGCACATATTGTTATAGTTCTGCATGAATACGCTTCCTACAAGCAATGGCGTAAAGTCTCAAAAGATGCCAAATTATTGCTTAAAATGTTACACCAATTCCCAACATTTGTTCCCTAGAGATAGGGAAAAGTCTGTCATTTTGTACGGCTGTCTTCTATATACAAGTACCTTGAAAAAAACAGTGTTTCTCTGTGATTGTTGTCATGTCTGTAAAACTCATATTTCAGCATGAAGCAATAGGAGTTCTCAGTGTACAGATTAGGATTAGATTTATTTTACAAAAATGAATGCAAATAAATATTCTTGAAACAAGGAGAAAAAAAAAATAAATAAAAAGAGAGAATTGTTTTTGTTTGTTTGTTTTAAGTTGGAGCACTCACATATCTTTAAGTCACTGAAAGTCATCAAGTAAAGTCGGGATATTCCAAAACTAACTCAGAACAGGAGAGCAATTTACAGTTTCTTGTCAAATTATCAATTTCATATCTTCTCTAAGGAAGAACAATAATTTCTTCTAATTCTAGATTAAACAAGAAAATTACCACTTAAGTAGACAATATATTTTACATTGCACAAATCATATAATATCATGAATGCTGAAGAGTGCTCACAATCTGATTAGCAATTTTTAGCTATTCATTAACTTCTGTGCCTCTATAAAAAACAACCACACTATTTAAGTGAAATTTTAATGCCTAAGTGCCTTCTGAAGCACAGCTCTCAGCTGGGAGACAGTTGTGAGAACCATCCTCTCTCAGATGATCAGAATATCACCTTGAAGTGACACAAAGCAACAGTGGGAAAAATCTGTCCATCTGAAGAAAGTGCAAGCTTCTAAAGAGACCTCAGTTGACATGAATTTTATTCTCAGTGCTTATTTTCTGCTTTCACATAAGGACACAAACCAAAACAAAAATAGAAAATAAAAACAAAAGAAAACTTCTTTCTAGTCACAGTCAGTTTAGCCTCAAAAATCGTAATTATTAGCATAAAGTGTATTGTCCTCAAATAGAATAGGCACCAGTTTTCCAAAAAGCTCGGTCTGCACAGCAAATTGTAAATGGCTAATAACCATCATATTTTAAATAGTAAAATATTTCTTTAAAAGTTCAAATGCCTTACTGGTGTTAATGGAAAAGCTCTTTTGGATTTTATCTACTATTTCACGTGGAACTTAGTGATCTCTAACTCAGCAACAATTTGATGTATTGCTTATTGCTTTCAAACACTGCGGAAGCATTTACCTTTTCCCCTAGAGCAAACCTGGCATTTTGCAGAAATATATATCTATATTTTCCCAACCTAAATTAAACAATGAGGAGGGCTAAATAAAACTTTAAAATCATTACTTTGTTTCAGACCTTAACATTGGACAGATTGTTCCTCCTCTATAATCTACAGAAAAACCTATTCTGTTTTTCTTCGCTAGCATGTGTCACTGTGTTTGATGTGGCATGCAGCAATGGTGTTATTTCTATAAAATAGAGCTGAACTTCATTGTCCACTCAACTGCAGTTGCTACATCATGTAAATTTCAGTGAAACTTCACACAGGTACCACGTTCTTTCCTGGAGATTTACTTTCTTCTTGCTTTGTCCTTTTCTATTAATTTATTATGTTACTAAGATCATATCATAGACCTCATATTTGTGACTGGAAAATATATAACTAATATATAACTACTATAAATACTAACAAATTGTTAATCACAATCCACGAAAATAATTTAAAGCAAAACTCTATGTCACAGTAAACTGTACACTTCCGTGACTTGCAGACAGCACTGAAACAGAAATATTTTATTTCCCAAACATCTAATATTCCCCTAATTTCCTCCCAAATCCATGCATTATCTCCCTCCTGTAATATGAAATAGCATTTGCAAATGTAGTGGGAATATAAAACAGATTAAGAAGTGTCTTGAATTGTTCCCTCCTGTTCTGTAGAGCTGTCTTCATGTGTAGGCTCTGTCATTTTATATCTCCCTTTGTGTCTGCAAGACTGCTCGCAGGCCAGGCTGCTGTGAAGGGAGGATGTTTTTTGGGTGCCATTCTGCGGTAGCATTCTGCTCCCTCAAAGCCCTTTTATGATCCATGTAATTAGTTCACACAGACTGATAAAGAACAATATCTTCAAGTCCGGGTAACTAGAGTTTGTCTTCACCCTATTAGATACTGATTTCAGCCAGTTAAGATTCCTCAGGATTTCTACAACACATTTAGTTTTGATCCATGGCCTATATAGATAGAAGAGCTTAAATCACTGATCTACGCATGGAAATGTTGTTTTAAGACAACTACTACAATTATTATAAGAAAGAAAAAAATAAATAAATAAATAAAAATAAGAGTAA